TAAGCACCTCTTTAAACCAGGATGAAGAAAATCCTAAGGAAGAAATAAAAATTGAAGAACCCGAAGAAGAAGAAATATCAGAACCCAAAGAAGAACCTCTGGAACTCAGAAGATCGAACAGGGTTACAAAAAGTAAACCTCCAGACTGCTACAGATTCCATGCAAAAACCTTTGGAACTCAGAAGATCAAACAGAGTTACAAAAGGTAAACCTCCTGATCACTATGGATTCCATGCAAAATATCCAGTCTCCTCCGAACCCAAAACATGGAAGGAAATTCAAACTTTGGAAGAAACTGGTTGACAGCTGTTCGAGAAGAAATTAATTCACTAGAAGAAAACAACACTTGGGAATTAGTTGATTTACCAAATAAAAGAAAACTAATAGGATGTAAATGGTCTTTCAAAATCAAGCTCAATGCAGAAGAAAAAATTGAAAGATACAAAGCCAGATTAGTCGCAAAAGGATTTAGCCAGAAGTTTGGATCTGACTATGATGAAACCTTTGCTCCCGTAGTAAAATACACAACTCTATGAGCCTTCCTATGTGCAGCTTCGCACAAAAACATGTCTGTCAGACATATCGATGTCAAAACAGCTTTCCTTCATGGAGAACTAGAAGAAGAAATTTACATGACTCAACCTGAAGGATACTCAAAAGCTGGAAATTAAAATAAAGTCTGCAAGCTGAAGAAATCTATATATGGTTTAAAACAAGATGCTACAGCTTGGAATCTGAAAATTGGAAAAATACTTCTAAACGTGACATTTAAACAAAGTAAAGCAGACCACATTCCACTGTTTTCCAAAACCATCAATGGAAAATTTACATATATAATATTATACGTAGATGATATGCTTATAGGAAGTGAAAGAGATGATGCAATGAAAACAATCCAACAACTGAATACTAAATTGGAAATCAAAAACCTAGTAGAAGTCACCTACTACCTCAGCATAAATATCGAAAGAACTAAAGATGGAACCTTTGCCATAAACCAAAAGAATAAAATTGAAGAGATAATTCAAAAATTTGGACTTCAAACCGAAAAACCAACATATATGCCAATGGAAACAAACTACTGCAAACTAGAAACTGAAGATGATCTTCTAGAGGATAATACAAAATATAGATAAGCAGTAGGAGCATTATTATACGTATATGGCAACAATCAGCAGACCAGATATAGCATGTGCTCTGAATCTACTGAGTAAAAGAGACGAAAAACCTCGGAACATAGATTGGAATGCTGTCAAAAAAGGCATTCGATACTTATATACAACTAAAAGAATTCTAAAAAGTCAAAACCGAAACTTTTCAAACAAGCAAAACCCCATTTTAAAAAATGAAACTTAAAGAAAAATGAACAATAACAGAAGAGGAATTCAATCAACTTCAATGCTACTGTGTCAGGGGGAGCACTGAAATCTCTCTTCTATAAAAATCCTTGCTTTTCTGTATCCAGAATTAGCCAATGAACCATTTCAATGTACTGTAATTTCCGGAAGAAACGCCGCGGCATTTACGTGTTTAAAACTCAAATTTTCAGCGGGTGCGGCGTTTAGGTGCACTAAAAATAAAATATTTCCTATGATGGTCATTGTACATAGTTTGGATGGCCTTGTCATTGTGCATAGACTGGTGCTGTTCCCACACAAAAGACCACTCAGTTGCTTTTTGCGAACGTTATTTTTGTTTAAATTCTTTCCCTTGAACGGACCTACACGCCTTATTCACCCTAAACGAGATCTCAGAACAATAACATTCTTCCCCCTTTCAAATCAACATTCTCATCAGTTTGAATAGTGTCTCTCCTCTGCCATTCGATGAATCTTCCAGGACCCATCCTCTCCCCACCCTTGCCTTTTCTGCAATTTTTTTCAAAGGCGGACACGACTCCACCTGCCTCGAAATAACAAACTCTAACATATTTCCCCTTCAGCATGAATGGATTTTTCTTGGCATTATGCCAAATACAGATCCCATCAGTTTGGGTACAAGTACTTGTTGGATAGTTTTTAAGTAAGAAGGGAGCGGAAAATTTTTGAAAATGTCTCTAAACGGCACAGAAGCTATACAATTCTTACCTTTAATTTATTTTTGAGTTATGGTTTCATTTCATGCATTTTTCTTAATTGGTATGTCATATATCAGGACTTAGGTTGAGTTTTTGCATCTATATGGCCCACGACGATGTCACGCGCAATTTAATCTATTGTGGCATTTCTGTGTAATTTTAATTTTTTTCCCGCCATTTTTCTCGAGTGCGCCATTAACGCTGATGCGGCTTTTCTTCTGGAAATTATGGTATTTTAATTATAATAGTTCACCCAAAAATTCTGGTCCTTCCACAAAGTAAATTCTAATTAGAATAACCTTAAATAAAGAGAATTCTATTTTATTAAAAGAATTGAAAACGAAAGTGAAAAAACAAAATACTTCAGTGAAAAATTTTAATCCAATTGTTTACCTTTAAACAGATAATCCAAAGACTAAAACATGAGTGAAATTAAAAAGCATAGTTGAAAAAAACCTAATTAAACACACAAGTAATTAAGAACTTCAAGCACTTTTATTAGACACCAATCTAAACTATGAGATGATCTAAACTAGGGATGTACAGGTATGCCATTTTGGCATCATTTGCAAAACTAAAAACTTTGGCGTGAAAGTAATCGCACAAAAGGCTGAAAGGCTAATCTTTGGAATATGGTAACAGGTAGTTTGGCGACGTTTTGGTAAGGCGATAAAGGTTACTAGCAGTGTACATGGATAAAGTCAAGAGCATGCGCAATGCCATTTTTGTGCAATTCTGGAATTTTTTTTAAGTGAAAATAGGTCGACGTGTACATGGATGATACCGTGTGCATTTCTTAAAAACGCAGCAAGCAGGGGCGATTCTGCACTTTCTCCCAATTTTGCACCTAATCTTCGTCATGATTAAGCACTTTTGTTCCATAAAAGTTCTAGCATAAGCGTAATTCGGCTAGCAGATTATTAGAAAAAAATTTTGAGTTAAAAAAAAAAAAAAGCCTTTACTTCGTAAAAACAAAATTGCGTCCCCCCCAAAAAAACTAGCAGGTTGCTGTAGCAGGGTTGGTGTCGCCAAGTTACCATAATCCGAAGATTAACCAGCTGAAATTTCGTATGAAAGATGTAATTTTGAAACCAAAAAAAAACTTTTAAATATTTCAATGAAAATTTATTTTTATTTTAGTCAAAGAAAAAGACTGCATATTAACTGAATGAAATTTTAAGTAGTCAGACTCTTTTAAAACAAAAATGGGAATAAAGATTTATTTAGTGAAAAACTTAAAATGGTACTTACGTATTATCGCTACCAGGTTGGCGCTATTTGTAACTTTGAGTAAAAAGTATGAATAGAAAGAAAATGTACATTTATTAATTACAGATAATTTTTAATACAGTTTTTACATTATTTTGTTTTAAAATATAAAATAGTAATTAAACCCTTCCGGTTTCGAATTTGAATAAGTTGAACCCTACTTACGGCTTTAGACCCTACTTACGACAACCCTACGTGTTATATGTAGTTTTGTAAAAAGAGCATGTGGAGATCCACAAAATTTTCCTGCATTTTCGTGCAAATTTTTGTAATTTATGAGAAAATAGCAGTGTACATGGATAAAGTCAAGAGTGTGCGCAATGCCATTTTTGTGCAATTCTGGGATGTTTTTTTAAGTAAAAATAAGTCGACGTGTACATGGTTTAGTGATATTTTAATTAAATGATAGTTATTTTGTGAATTTTATGTTTGTAGCAATTTGGTATACGTTTAAGTTGAAGTAAACGTGCATGTAAATAATTTAAATATTTGATACTAAGTATTTGTAATACTTGTAACAATGAATTTGAATAAGTTGCAGAATTATTTTTTCGGCGGAAATCTTTTGGCTATTGCTTTTAGCACTGATTGAAAACCATATTCGCCATAACCATGTACACGTCGACTTATTTTTACTTAAAAAAAATCTCAGAATTGCACAAAAATGGCATTGCGCACACACACTCTTGACTTTATCCATGTACACTGCTATTTTCTCATAAATTACAAAAATTTGCACGAAAATGCAGGAAAATTTTATGAATCTCCACATGCTCTTTTTACAAAACTACGTATAACACGTAGGGTTGCCGTAAGTAGGGTCGCCAAATTTGGCAATTTATGCGAATTTTGGCCTGGTTGCGTTAATACGTAAGTACCCTTAAAATTTTAAAATCAATTTATCATTAAAAAAATATACTCAATAAGTTGCCCCAAAAGTAAAGAAAAAGTTTTTAATAATTGCTTTGTAGATGTGAGTAAAAAGTTTAATTTTGGAATTTAAAATTACACATAAAAAGGTTGAAAAAGGAAGTAAAGGTACTATGTTAGAAAAGTAAAAAATCTTCACGTCATGGGCTTATCATGATGACTTTGAATACATATAAGGCCATGGTTAGTAATAGAATAGTAATTTTAAAAAAATAATAATAATAAAATAAATAAAAAATCCTTTATACTCTTTAAAACATCCTTCATTATCCTTCTCTTTCGGAGCTTTCAGATAAAAAAATCCATACCTTTAAAAAGTATTATAGGGTGTAGACTACTCCATTTCTTTAATATACTATTAATGATTTTAAGGAATTTCATATCTTAATATTTGGTGAGAATTAGAATTTCTTTTTTGTGTTTCTTTTAATGCAAATTTTTTAATTCTACACAATAGTTATTAGTGGCACACTATTGCTGGTCAAACTGAAGTGAAAAGTAGTCAGTTGAATGTTCGTGTGGAATAAACAATGTGCTATGTGAAGTGTTGTAATGAACTTAATTATAGATCAAGAAATATTAATATGATTATAAAATGGCATAGTTGTGTGGAGTAGTATTACAACTAATTGCCAGGCAATTCCTTTGGTTGTTTTTCCTCTCAGCAGACGCAAGATGGAATTTTGTCGCCCACCACAAGGCCTAAGTTTCGACAGCAATGTGGCTGAAAACTGGCGCAGATTCAAGCAGCTGTTCCAGATTTATATGAAAGCTTCAGGAAATGCTTCAAAAGATTCAGATGTGAAAGTTGCTTTATTTTTAAATGCCGCTGGTGAGGAAGCAGTTGAAGTGTTCAACACGTTCAATCTTTCAACAGGAGATCAGGGTAACTATGAAAAAGTGCTTGAGAGGTTTGAAGCTTTCACGACACCTAGAACAAATGTTGTGGTGGAGAGATTTTTATTCAATAAGAGAAAACAAGAAGAAGGGGAACTTTTTGATTGTTTCGTAACTGACCTGAAAAAACTTGTAAAATCTTGCGAATTTGGTGAGCAGAGTGACTCTGTCATACGTGATCGCATTGTCCTTGGAGTATCAGATGCCAGTTTACAGGAGAGGATGCTGCGAGAAAATAATCTGAGTTTGGAAAAAGCAATTGAATTAGGGAAAGCAGCTGAATTGAGCAAAGCTCGTGCTCAAACGTTAAGAGAACACAATGTTGACAGCGTAACTAGAGAAAAAGTGAAGCAACATCGGACAGGAGGAGCCAATGCAGCCTTAGCAGTGAGGAAGCACAGAGGATGGAGTGATGACACTTCAAATACTGAGACATCTTTATGTAAAAAATGCAACAGACATCACGTTAATGGACAGTGTCCGGCATATGGAAAAAAATGCTTTAATTGTGGCAAACTAAATCACTTTTCGACTATGTGCAGACTGAAGCACATCCAAAATGTTTCTCAGCATGATAACGCAGATGTATATAGGGAATCTGATAATGAATTCTTCGTGAATTCCATAAATGTTCAAAGAACTAAAAGTGTGTGCTCAACATCATCTACAAAAGAGTGGACTAAAACTTTAATTGTTGAAGGGACAACTGTGACTTTTAAGTTGGACACAGGGTCTGAAGTGAATGTTTTGCCTGTGAAAACTTACGAAACACTGAGTGCTAAGAACTCTAATCTTATTTTAAACAAGTGTAATGTTGTATTAGAAGCATTTGGGGGGTCCAAGGTTAAACCTGATGGGTCATTAATGTTACAATGTTCCTCAGATGGTGTGGATCATACTCTAGAGTTTTTAATTGTTTCTAGCAAGCATATACGTCCATTATTAGGAATTGATGCATGTGTTAAACTTAATTTAATTCAGTTTATAAATAAGGTTGGAATATCAATTAAAGGTAAGTTGGATCAGTATACAATTGTTTTACCTCCATCTAAAGATCAATTTATTATTAATAATTCAGAAGTGTTTGAAGGTGTGGGGAAATTTAGTGGATTGTGTAAAATCATGGTTGATGATCAGATAGCTCCTGTAGTGAGACCACCACGTAGAGTACCACTTAGTTTAAAACCTAAACTTGAATTAAAATTAAGCGAATTAGAGAGACAGGGCATTATTGCAAAAGTTGATCAACCTTTGAACTGGGTTAGCAATCTAGTAATAATTGAAAAAGCTAATGGATCCTTAAGAATATGCCTTGATCCTCAAGATCTTAACAAAGCTATAAAAAGAGAACATGTGTTGATTCCAACAATTGAGGAGATTTTACCAAAGCTATGTAATAAATCAATTTACTCTGTTTTGGACTTAAAGGATGGGTTTTTTTCAAATAGCGTTAGATGGAAATAGTAGTGATCTTTGTACTTTTAGCACACCATTTGGATGCTATAAATTCTTAAGGCTTCCAATGGGTATTTCCTGTGCACCTGAAATTTTTCAGAAACGCAATCTTGAAAACTTTGGTGATATACCAGGAGTATTGGTCTATTTTGATGACATCCTCATTGCTGCTAGCACTATACAAGAACATGATAAAATTTTAACAGAGGTCATCAACAGAGCTAAAAAACTCAATATTAAATTCAACAAGCAAAAACTTCAATATAGGGTTAGTGAGGTTAAATATTTAGGTCATTTATTTAATGCGTCAGGCATGCGACCTGATCCTGATCGAATTAAAGCCATTACTGAGTTACAGGAACCTCAGAATAAGCATGAATTACAGCGTGTTTTGGGAATGTGTAATTATTTGAGGAAATTTGTACCACATTTTTCAGAGAAAACAGCCATATTAAGGGAACTTTTGAAAAACAAAGTAGAATGGCAGTGGTTACAGCTACATTCTAAAGCATTCAGGGAATTAAAAAAATTAATTTCCAATGCACCTGTGTTAGGAATATTTGATAGCAGTAAACCTATAACTATACAGGCAGATAGTTCTAAAGATGGGTTAGGCTGCTGCTTATTGCAGAATGGGCAACCAATTGCTTTTTCGTCTCGGAGTTTAAATAATGCAGAAAAAAACTATGCTCAGATTGAGAAAGAATTTCTTAGTATTTTATTTGCTGCTAATAAATTTCACTATTACATTTATGGTAGAGAGGTAGAAGTGCTTACTGATCATAAACCATTAGTTTCAATTATGAACAAAAATATTGCTAATGTGTTGTCAAATAGATTGCAGAGGATAAAAATTAAGCTCTTAAAATATAACTTAAAACTTAAATATTTGCCTGGGAAATATATGTATATTGCAGATTTACTGTCACGTTCCTTTATTGATACAGACACGAATGAAAACATGGATATGACAGAGATTGTTCATACACTAACAAAACAACTGCAAATGTCTGAGAGTAAGAAAAGGGAATTTCAGAAAGCTACATTAGAAGATGAAGGGTTAATGCTAGTGAAAGAATATTGGCAAAATGGATGGCCTTTGAGTGTTGATAAAGTTCCTAAAGAAGCAAGATCTTATTTTAAATTTAAAAATGAGTTGAGTGTTGAACAAGATTTAGTTTTTTTTTAATAATCGAATTGTAGTACCTGTTGCATTAAGGAAGTGTATATGTTAACATTATTGCATGAAGCTCACTGTGGGATTGAAAAATCAAAAGCTAGGGCTCGACAAGTACTATTTTGGCCAGGAATCAACAGTGACATTGAGAATATGATTTCTAAATGCCTAATTTGTGATAGGTTCAGGCCTCAAACAGTAAAAGAACCTCTTGTTTCTCATGAAATTCCCAGTTTACCTTATGAAAAGGTTGGTGCTGATATCTGTGAGTATGCAGGGAAAAGTTATCTAGTAATAGGCTGTTACTTAACTAAATGGGTAGACATAATTCCTCTAAAAAATAAAAGTGCAGTGGAAGTTACTAGTAAATTGAAATCGATATTTGCAACACATGGAATACCCAAAACTTTAATTTGTGATAACGTACCATTTAATAGTTGGAAAATGAAGAGTTTCGCAAGGGATTGGGGATTTGAAATAATCACTAGCAGTCCTCGATATCCTAAATCTAATGGATTTGCAGAAAGGTTGGTAGGTATAGCTAAGAGTTTATTTAGAAAAGCAGGATTAGAGAAATTAAATGAGGCTTTACTGGAATATAGAAATACTCCAATTTCAGGTATAAATTTATCACCAAGTCAAATGCTATTAAGTAGGAATTTAAGAACACGATTACCAATTACACAAACAGAATTGAAACCAACTGTAAAAGATCAATATAGAGAAAAGGTGAGGAGTAAGCAGAAACAGGCTAAAATCTATTATGATAAGCATGCAAGGGAAAGACCTGAATTTATTCCTGGGGAAAAGGTAATGTTGAGATGGGAAAATAAATGGGAGCCTGCTATAGTTTTAAAAAAGCATTCAACTCCTAGATCATATTGGATTAGAACAAAAGATAATAGGGTAATTAGACGGAATAAATTCCATTTAAGAAAAACTAAAAATCAGAATTTAGTGACATTAGACTATTATGATCTATGTAATGAGAATGAGGAAAATATAAGTAGTGAACATCCAAAAATACATAATGATCCTCACCATCAAAATAATAGCAATAATATTAATCGTGATTGTGTATATAAAACAAGAAGTGGTCGTAATGTATATCGACCATCCAAATATGATAATTATGTAATGCATTGATTCCTATGAGTTTCCCAAAAGAGGGGAGATGTTACATATATGTGGCAACACACTAGTTGCTGGTCAAACTGAAGTGAAGTAATTGTCAGTTAATGTTCGTGTGGAATAAACAATGTGCTATGTGAAGTGTTGTAATGAACTTAATTATAGATCAATAAAATAACATGAGGAGTAACACTCTTTTTGAATTAACTGCAGGCAAAGTAGCCTCACCTTTGTTTAGTTATGTCCAAATTTATAGTTAAATTTCAGTTATAAATCACCAGGAATGAACTGGATATCTGTAAGTATGTATGTTAATAATCGGGCAGAACTTAACATGGTTGATTTACCAGCATGTTAAGGTTACCCTGATTGTGAAAATTTTCAAAATAAAATACAAATGAAAGTGAAAAAAAGCTGTCAACAAAACTGTCGCAGAAAAGTAAAATTTCTTGCTGGAATACCATGGAGGTTTTTAGATACCAAAGACGAAAGTTGGCTCACCTTGCCAACTTCCGTCTCTGGTATGAGGCGAACTTTTTTGGATGATGTGAGATCATGAATATAAGATCATCATTTGAAGAAATAAATGAAAGTTTTGCTTGAATTATGCTCAAAAGATGAGGCTAAAGATCATGATATATGTGGCACCATTAAGCTTTCATTCGATTTTGCTCATACAACTCAGGTTTAAAGGTGTTAATCTAATGCAAACTTAATAAGCATGGTAGCGTGTTTGCGCTGCTATGCTACCAACATAATAATAGTAAGAAATGTAAAGAAACCTTGCACATAGAATATCAGTGCGGGAAGATGCATGCGCTTAAAATGTCTTTCAGTTATTCTGTATGTCTGACTAATAAAGTTGGTTGTTCCTTCAAAAATGGAGAGATTTCTCTAAAAATTCCAAGGAGGTTAGAATAGAAGGAGGGAGCGTTCGCAGTTTCCTCCACTATCGGAGAATGAAACTCCACGGAACAAGTGGCGTCCATGTTTGTTACTTCAAAACATTGCAATACGGTAGTGAAACGTACGTGTTTGTAAGCTGTTCTATGCATGAATTTTCCAGTAAAAATATGTTAAATTTATAATGAAATGCTTCGCTATTGTTAGTTTTTTGTTTTAAAGTTATAAAAGTGATATCTGTAATTTACTAAGTACAGAAATCATTAAGAAATATTTCGAAATAAATGCATGTGCATAACATTAAAGCCTTTACAAATTATGTTTCTGCAAAATATCAAGGAATTTGTTTAGGTTTATTAGCAACTTCTCTGGTATACTTTCCAATTGTTTCTTTAAGAAATGATATTTCTGATTTATTCGCAATATTATTATAATTTATTAAAGAATCATTTTACCTGAAATTAAGCAGATAATTATCTAAAAAAATGGTAACATGTAGCTTTTTTTTTTAAATGAAAGTTTTAAATAGATTCTTTTCACAATCAACAACCTTACATCAACAAGAAAATAAATCTTAATAAAATAAAACAGATTTATGTGAATTCAATGATTTCAGTTTATGCGCGTTTCATATTTATGAATCTCAAAGAAATTACCTTGAATTAAACTGAATTACAGAAATATACCTATATAAATTTTTGGATGTATCTTTTCACATGTTCAATTGTGTAAATATTTTACTTACGTTTATCGCTATACTGCCCAGAAATTTGTAAGCTTATGCAAAAACATTTAACAACAGAACAGTTTTATCTTGATCAAATGCACAAAATGTATTCGTAACAGTTCACAAAACTTAAGAATGAATAATAATTAATACATAAGGAAAAGCGTGCTTTATTTAACACCTTTACAATTCATAAAAATAGTAACAATTGATTTCTTACTTTTCATGAAAATTATAAAACGAATTATCTAAGCGTTCAAATTATACAGCAAGCATATAATTCTAGCTATATCATTGTATGTTAAGGAACGAAGATACCAGCTGTAAGAAAAAGCATTAAAATGTATTGTATTTAACATGTTTTGATTATTATTAAGTCTTTTTTGTCACATCTGGAAGAAAACAACATGATATTGTGACATTTTTTTAAACCTATTTTATGAAATTACATAAAAAAAAAAAAAGAAAATACTTACGAGTGAACAGTAATCCCAGGAATATTTTCGTAGGTCATTTGCGGGTCCAAGGACAAGGAAATAAATATCTGGTGCTAGTGACTGGGATAGAAAGGTGAAACCAGTGTTTATTTAAAAACAAATACAGTATGTGTGAGTATAAGTTTTTATGAATACAGTGCCATTTTATATGAAAATGTTTCATCTTATTATTGAACGCAACTAAAAGAATGATATTTTATGTTTAAGCTTTTGGATTAAAGCATCAAAACACTTAGCCTGATTACGATGTTCTTTTAAAATTTGAGCTCTTCTATTAGAGTGGCAAATTTACTACGTTAATGTTAGAATATTTCTATTATGAAATTTAAGCTCTTGTATTAGACTGGGAAATTTATTACGTTAATATTAGAATATTTGTATTATGAAATTTGAGCTCTTGTATTAGAGTGGTAAATTTATTACGTTAATATTAGAATATTTCTACTATGAAATTTGAGCTCTTGTATTAGAGCCCCAAATCAAGAATTTTGTTGTGTGCGAATCAAGTTAAGAGGCTAGAATTTTTTTAGAATTTACTTTAGTGTAATTTATTATTACTTTAGTGTAATTTATTAAGAATAAACTTCGCAGATTTTTGTTTCTCAGAAAGCACATACGTTTATTGCATTATGTGTTTTAGAGGGAAAAAAAAATACGTTGTGTCATACTTTAATTTCTAATTAAAAAAAAAAAAAAAAAAAACTAGATTGAGCAAGTTGATTTGAATTTTTGAATATAGACTAAAAGTCTTTTAAAATTAATTTTGAAACACTGTGATAATTTTTTCGGCATAATTACTGTGAGCGGTCTCACAGACCGCTTTAAAGAAACGCGTAAAAATACATACTTTTTATGCCTTTTAAGGAATGTTATAGATACTTTATACATATTTATAGAATTCTAATTCATTTAAATCAATATTTAATACATTAAAATCATTTAAATTTTACGCAGTTTTTCATATAAAAAATGACTATTTTCTTCGTTTTAAGGAAAAGAGCTTTTTTAAAGAACAAAGATTTTATTAAACATGCATGAAAATATGTGACTTTATTAAAGTATGTGACATTACTGTCAATTAAACCATAGTTATGAAGGAATGAATTTAGTTATTAATAAATAATAGATTAGTATATCTTTGTTTACAAGGATGACTTACAAGTTGATACACAGTCAAAACACATTTTTTGAGAGCACTTAAGACACACTGATTCCTTGCATTCTAAGCATTTGGTATGCTGGTTTTCTCTTTTTTGGGGGGGGGGGATTTGATAAATCCATTCTCTTAATTTCCAAGGATTCTTCTAATTGTTATTTTCAGTTCCCTTGGCAAAAAAGAGGAAATTATCCCAACTCTCAGATGCAGATTAATAATTAGCTAATAAAAGCATAAAATTTTTTCTTTTCACTTTTGTAGCATCAGCATATGACTAGAACATTATGCATGAACATAAATCCAAGTATTTTCGGGCTCTGCTCTAGAGCCTATTTTTGCAAGATGTTTCTGACCAAGGAGGTGAATTATTGTGTTATGCTTTGGTGTTCGTACTGCCCAATTTGGTCATTTTTTGCACCATTTGAAGTGCTTTTTCCATAAAAATTATCACTTTGTTCACAGTCATTAGAAAAATTATGACATTCATCTGCAGAAAGCTCAGATTCACTTTTGCTTTCACTGTGAAGGACTACATGATTCTTCAGAATCAGAGTATTTTACATAAAAAATATTGTTGACAAGATATTCAATTTCTTGTAAAATTTGAAGCCATATTTATCTCTTTTACGAAAAACAAGCATTCGATAAATAACGTCTATAGTCCACTAAAACTCGTACACATCTGCTGTGAGGGGCCTCTCAGACAACTTAAAAAGTAAAAATTGTAACTGAAACCATAATAAAGCTAGAAGTTTAAAACTTGATATGTGACCTTGTGGGATGGGTTTGAGAAGGTAGGAGGAAGGACAGGGACCATTCTCCGTTTTTAGGGGTGGAGACAACGGTTAGAAAATCCTCAGCGGTCTCCGAAACCGCTCACAGCAGTTGAAGGTTAATTTACGCGAAATTTTTTTTTCTGTTCACAAACTATTCTATTACTTTTGAAGGTTATAAATATCTATTTGTGTCTTTTAAAATAGGGAGGTTTTAGGGAGTTAAAAAAATTTTTTCCCAATTTACAAGTTTCAGTAACTGAAAGAAAATTTTTTTGTTGTTGCTGCTATAAAATGATGCAGTATAAAGAACAAAATATTCTTATTCCCAGCACAGAAGATTATATAATTTGAGACAGATAATTGCTGGCACATATTAACAGAATGATTTGCTGAACAAAAAAATATTTTTGACATATTTTCTACTTTCAAAGATTACTCGAATAAATCAGTTAAGAACTATAGGTTTCTACCATCTATTGCCGATTAATAAGACAAAAATATTACTATTATTATTTTACTTTTTTTTAGTTGTCGTGAAAGAACAAAACTAATTTTGCTGTTGAACTGTATATGGCATAAGTATGAAGAAAATGAGGCTTAATAATAAAGATAAAAAGACAAAAAGAAATGTATTAGCAGGAGTGAGTAGACCTGGTAGAATTCAAGGTCAGCAACAGCGTAAAAAAACTTACCATACCCACTAGGCGACCGTTAAAATCTAAGCCCTTTCAGATTTTTTTTTTCTTTTCATTTGGGAAACAGTTAAAAAGATGCGAAATACTTGTTGATTGGAACAGTTCTGCTGCCTGCCGCTAGGCCGGAGTCCTGGCTATTTCAAGATATCAAAACAGCCATATCTGGCTAGATCAGGTAAGACCAAGCACTGTGTCCACCCTCATACGATATTGTGAAATTTTAAATTTGAAATCCGAGATCAGAAATGTATGTTCTTTAAA